CATTTAATGTAATTTTTTACACACACACATACACACATATATTATGTATATTTAAGATCAGCTGACTTAATAAAGAGTTTATTTTATATTAAAAAACAATCAATAAATTTCTTTTTGTTTGACAAACATTAATATTATTTATTAATAAATTATATGTATATATAATTTTATTTGCCACATTTACAACAAATTCTTGTTCTTTATTATAGATTAAAATTTTTTCGCATTTTCCCAACAATATATACATTGAATACTAAATCAAGTAAACCCCCATTTGTAATACATGAAACTTAAATAGAATTTTTATAGTGCAGCAAGCTCTTTCAAGGTTAAAAAATTTAATGCACAATGATAATCTTGGGAGCGCATTTTTAAGCGCACAATAAGCCTTTCTATATTTTTTGTATATAAAGATAATTTTATTCTATATTTTAAGAATTACAGATTGAAGGGAATATGAAAAAAAATTTCTTCTTAGTATTTATATTTCGTTGAGTAATCTTTTGGCGATACTACTAATCCTCGACCTTTCCTTGCACCACGATACACTGTTTCTATTATATCTATAAGTTCTTGTGTATCCTCCAATGCCTAATCATATAAATTACATTTAGGTAAAACATCATCAACCAAATCTTTTAACAAACATAATAATAATATTTATTATTTACTGACCCAATTAATCTTGTTATTATTACCAGTTCCTAAATCAATCATTATATGTTTATTTCGAAAGAAAAACATAACTGTGCACGGATCGTAAAGTTCGTACATCTAAAGATTGAAATTTTGAAATAATTAGTATATAAACATATTTATGTACATATATGTATTATCTAATAATACAATATTAATATATAAAGAGAGAAAAGAGAGAAGTCAGTGTTGTTGACCTACCCAAAATTCCTTTCAATTTTTCCAGCTGGTAGAAAAAACTTTATTTAACAAGTTCATCATTACTTGGATTCATTTAGAATTTAGAATAAAAAAATTTATTTAATAAAGGTAATAATTTTTATTGATATTTTATAGATAATAACAAATATTAAATTTAAAATTATATATTTTTAAACTATTATTTTCCAACATCATCTAACTCTTTAAAAAAAATTTTTCTATTAATAAAAGAAATAAATATATATATATTTGCAAATATGGCTATGGATTTAAGGGTAGGTAATAAATATCGTATAGGAAGAAAGATCGGTTCAGGTTCTTTTGGTGAAATTTATCTTGGTATGTATAGATTTAAAATGTTCGATGTTTATTGTTATTGTTATTTCAACATTTAAAGAATTTAGATTTAGTATTATTTTTTTCCACTATAATTATCGTTATCGTCGTTACAATCATACATATCGTTTTGTTATTAATTAGGAACAAATATTATTAATGGCGAAGAAGTTGCTATAAAACTTGAATCTACAAAGGCTAAACATCCACAATTAGAATATGAAGCAAAAGTTTATAAAACTCTTGCTGGTGGTGTGGGCATTCCATTTGTCCGCTGGTACGGTACTGAATGCGATTATAATGCTATGGTGATTGATTTATTGGGTCCATCATTAGAGGATTTGTTCAATTTTTGTAATCGCAAATTTTCATTAAAGACTGTACTATTATTAGCCGATCAATTGGTATGTTAATTAATTATTTGCATATATACACATTTACACACATATAATTAATGTGTTTTTATTTTTAAAAATGATTTAGATTTCTCGAATTGAATATATACATTCAAAAAATTTCATTCATAGAGATATTAAGCCTGATAATTTCTTAATGGGAATTGGTAAACGTGGTAATCAAGTTAATGTGATCGATTTTGGCTTGGCCAAAAAATATCGCGATCCAAAAACACATTTACACATTCCTTATAGAGAAAATAAGAATTTAACAGGCACAGCTAGATATGCAAGTATTAACACTCATTTAGGAGTTGGTATGTTTTAATATTTTTATTTTATTTTTAAATACGTGTTTATGCTTGAAAATATTTATTTTTTTTAAATTTCCTTAAAGAACAATCTCGTCGTGACGATCTTGAGTCACTGGGTTATGTAATGATGTATTTTTGTCGCGGATCACTTCCATGGCAAGGTCTTAAAGCCGCAACAAAAAAACAAAAATATGATCGTATTATGGAAAAGAAAATGACCACTCCCACAGAACTTCTTTGTCGCACATTCCCTAATGAATTTGCTATCTATTTGAATTATACAAGATCTCTTAGATTTGATGATAAACCAGATTATAGCTATCTAAGAAAATTGTTCCGAGATTTGTTTGTTCGTGAAGGATTTCAATACGATTATGTATTCGATTGGACAATTTTCAAATATGTATGTATTTTACTCTAATTTTTTTAAAAAAACCGTTATAATTCAAATATTTATAGTAATCATCCAAAAAATTATTTTTTTTAAAAAAAACAATAAATAAATAATAACAATAGGAAAAAGAAGCTAACAAAGTTCATCCACCTTTACAAATGCCAGAAGATGCAAATAATGCTGGTGAAGCTGTTGATGAAGATATCAAGAATCAAAAACGTGCTGTTAATAATAGACAGGCAGTCACTGCCTCAAATTTTGCTAACGATCCTTCAACACCTCGCCGTCCAACAAATAAACCAATTTATGGAACTGGTATCAGTTCTACAAGAGCTGCTACATCTACCACACCACAACCCATTGCAAGTGGCTCATCACGGTTAACATCAGTTCCTAGGCGTAATAAAGATAGTGCTGCACCCGTTACAGATAATAATAATAGAGTTGTAACTTCAGATAGACTGTAAGTTATTTACGTATTGTATATTTATATTTAAATCTACTTTTTATGCTTTATTTTTTTTTTTAATTAATATAATAATAATTTTTTAGACTTCGTAGTCAAACTAAAAATAATCCAGCGGCAGTAAATTATTTAAGTTCGTATAAAGGTGGTAGAAAAGATGATCCAACTGGTGGAAACGGACAATGGTATTAAAAAAGTAAGCGTAAAGTAAGCATTAGGCGATAAAAATCAAACACTTTTACGAGTAATAATAATAATAATAGTTATGGTTTGTCTTTAGATGTAGACGACACCAATCCCAATGCAGATCAACATTTAATCAAACAAAAACCACCCAACAAAAAAATTTAATAATAATAATTAATAAAAATAACATTTAATGTAATTTTTTACACACACACATACACACATATATATATATAAATATAATTATAAATATAAATACATAATATAAATTATGCTATGAACAATAATATCAATTTTCCCCTTATCTGTTTTTCTTTTTTTCTTTTTTTTTTCCAGTAGATAAATTATTTGAAGGTGTAATACATTACGTTACAATACCTTCTCCCTCTCTCTTTTTATTATTATTATTATTTTTCTCACTCCTTTCAATACTTTTTTTTTAATATGTATGTTTGTTATAACCAAAAAAAAAAGTATATTTTCATTTTATTAATATAAGCTATAGAATATTTGTTGTTTTTTATCTATGTTGGTTTTACGTGAAGTGTCTGAAAAATTATTTTTTTGCACATGTAAAATGACATCGTTGCGCACAATAAAGCTTTACTTTTATTAAAATCAAATTTTTACTTCTAAAGAATCACCATCAATGAATGATGCCATATGATAAGTTTGTTGATACAACAAATTATATTCATTCATTAATATTAATTAGAGTTTATTAAATTATTCAGATTTTTTTTGTAGATCGTAACATTATCATTGAAGACCGACTACGTAAATAAATATATTAATAGTGTTACGGATTATCTCAGAAATCTTTTGGGAGTAGCATGTAGAAGAAGTGTTAAGTATGAGATTAATGTTAATGTAGTGATGAAACGAAAAATTGATTTAGAAGAAAAATCCTTTGACCCTACGTACGAATCTTGATGTTACATGTTGTAATTTAATCAAGAACGATTTTAAATCAAGTACTGGTTTAATTGCTTTCTTCTTTTTTTCAAATATACCTTTTTCTTTGCCTGGATATTGATTGAATAAGTTTATTCTAAGAAAACATTCATGAAATTTTTTTATTTGAGGAAATATATAGGATAAAATGTTATACTTCTCGTACTTTTTATAAAACTATAAACTTGTGACTATTGATTGGCAATGCTAACCAAAAAAATCCTGATGATGAATATTCAGAGCTAAAAATTTCTATCGATTGAATAATAAGTGTCAAAAATTAGATAATAATTTAACAAATGTATATGAACGTTAAAATAAAAATTTCAAAAATAAATTGCAGGTTTCAATGAAAATTAGGAAAAACAAAATTTTACGTTAATTTAATGAGGTAAATTATGAATTAACAAAAAACAACTAATTATTCAGGCAAGAATTATATCAATAGTCAATTAGTATTTAAAAAAAAATTTATCTGAAATAAAAAACAGAATACAGTTCACTCTCTCTATAACGGATCATTTGTCTGGGGAAAAAAGATCCGTTATAGAGAGAATCCGGTATAGAGAATTTTGTTGATTGTCACATGATTAAGTTAACGAATAAAAAAAAATTTATTATTATTATTATTATGATTATAAAAAAATAATTATTCAATATTAATGTTCAAAAAACTATCTAATGTAGATTGTTTTTTTGAATTAAATTCTACTTTTTTGATTTTCTTTTTAATGGTTTTTAACAATTTCAATTCTTCATTTGTAAATTCCTTAAATTGCTGTTCAACAAATAAATTTACATTTTCAATGGCCAATAAAGCATCTTGACTTGAAACAAGAGGAATTTCTTCAATATTATCATCATCTTCTTCATCTTTTTCTTCATTAAGCCTTAGCATAGAAATTATTTCTTCATCATTTGGCAAACCCTCATAATTGTCATTGTCATTTCTTTCTACTTCATCAATGGAAAGATATTCTGTCCCAGATAAAGGATTTGCAAAATCAAGTTCATTAATTAAACTTTGTAAATCATTTTCATCATTATTTTTTGAAGAATCTAGGAATGATGTAGCATTTTGAATTTCAATAGAATTTTCATCCACATCAGGTAAAATTGCAGTCTTTTTCCAGCAATTAATTATTGTTTGACTGGTAACATTTTCCCATGCCTTTGTAGTATATTTAATTGCATGCTTTATTGTAATTGGATCAGGTTCTCCACCTCTTTTTTGTATTTCATAATTTTTTAGTTTTTTTCTCAAAAAAAGTTTTTTATAATTTGCCTGTAAAATATGATATTGAAATTATGTTAAGAATTTTTTTAAAAAAGAAAATTAATATTAATATTAATAATTTATTTACCTTGAAGCTATTGATTATACCAGCATCGCATGGTTGTAAAAATGCAGTAGTATTTGGAGGCAAAAAATGAATTTTAACATTTGTTAAATTTGTTGTCTCATTAACAGAATGTGTGGGAGCATTGTCTAATAATAACAAAATATTTCTATTTTGTTGTTGCATATATCTGTTTAAATTGACTAAATAATCATTAAAAATGGAGACTTGCATCCATGCTTTGAGATTCCAGTAATAGTTTACTGACAATGCTTCTTTGTCAATATTTTTTAAAGCTTTAGGCGTTTTATATTTGTGTATAAATAATGGCTTCAATTTTTCTGTTCCACTAGCATTACATGTTAATAATACTGTAACTCTTTCCTTTGACTTCTTTCTTCCAGATACAGGTCCTGTTGATAATACTTTTGATGGTTCCAGTTTCCAAAATAACCCAGTCTCACCTGCATTAAAAATATCTGATAATTGATATTGATTTGTAATAGAATTCTTTAATTCTTCTCTATAAATAGGTAATTCCGAAATAGGAGTACTGGCAGCTTCACCTTGTTTTGTATACTGTTTGATATTATGTCTTTGCTTGAATTTTGTTAACCATCCTTCTGATGCTTTGAAGTCATTAATATCAAGAAGTTGGGCAAAGTGTATTGCTTTTTCTTTCAATATATCACCAGTAATGTCTAACTCTGCACCAATAGCTTTCTCTGTCCAAATAGTTGATGCTTGATCAACTTCTTCGTATACCAAGCTTCTCCTTTTTTTCTTGGTAGCATCAGAGGATTCTGGATTAATGGAAAGCCACCTATCTTTTTCATTTAAAATATCACTAATTGTACTTGTACTAATATCAAAAGCTGTTGCTAATTCTCTATTCGTTGGGATTGGAGTTTTTTGTTTTGCCAAACAAATATCTCTTTTTATCAAAGCTGTTAAAGATTTTCTCTTATTTAATGACATTTTAAATAAATAATAAAACAGAATAGATAATAAATGAATCAATTTGATATGAATTAAGTTTGATTAATGAAAAATTTAAAAATTGAATTAATACAAAAATCATGATCGATTTATATAAAAAAAATTGCTTAATTTTGCGATGTAATACAACGCCACAATGATGTGTTACATGACGTCTGATTTATAATTTATTTACACGTAAAATAATATTAACATTATTTTCTTTATTAAAATAATATTGACATTATTTTAACTTGGCAATAACATCATCAATTTTTGATTTCTTTATTATCAATTAAGAGATTATTTGACATTTGTATAGTGATCTAATAATGACTATATGATTTAAGATCTGCATTTTAGTTTTGAAATCATGTGAATCCGGCATAGAGAGAGGGATTTATATAGAATGTTTTCGGGGTGCTGTCCGTTATACATTATATAAAATTTAACTAATAAAATCCGTTATAGAAAGAGGTTTTAAATAGTAAAAAATTGGGCCAGAATTTTTTGTCCGTTATAGAGAAAAATCCGTTATAGAAAGATCCATTATAGAGAGAGTAAACTGTATATATAATTTAAGTGATATTTTATTATTCATTCATTCATTTATATAATTTTTTTAATTTAGGATTTATCAGAAACCTCCAATTATTTTATTCAATGTATAGGAGATGTTCCAACTCGTTGGAATTCCAGTTATCTTGCTTGGACAAGACTCATAAAAATCAAAGAATTTATTTCATTGTTAGCAAGTTCTATGGAATCTGAATCTGATTATGATACTTGAAAAGATGGTAAAAGGTTAAAAAAAATTCTTCTAAGCGATGAAGAGTGGGAGCTTTTGAAGGAATTAGTTAAAATCTTAAAACCATTTGAAGAAGCAACTACATACCTTGGTGGAAGTTCTTACATTACATTCAGTATGATGTATCCATTAATACAAGAAATTAAAACACGTCTTAAAAATAACATCCAATCAAATTCCATATCTGATTTTGAGACATTTTAATTTAGAAGAATTAGATGATGTTTTTAATGATGAATTTATTGAAGAAATAGAAGATGCTGAACAAAATGATTTTAATCTAAACCAGCCAATGCACACTGAAGGTATACTGGGTTTAACTAATAGGGTTTTATATAATGCAATGAATTTTTACTGGAACTTTGAAAATAAAGAGTATATGATTGCTGTTATGTTAGACCCACGTACAAAACAATTGACTTTTATTAGAGGTAAAATCATGTTTTAAATTTTAAATTTTATATATTAAATTAACTGATGTCTTTTTTTATAGAACAGAATATAAAAGATGATTATAAATTGAATTTACAATTGAAATATAATCAGATATCAGCTCAACAATCAACAATCACCAATATTTCATCAACAAATGTAAATCGAGATTGCACTTTAGTTGAAACTGAAACACCTACACTTTTTTCAATTTTTAATATGTCACATCAAAATCCATTTTCAGATGAAATAAGTGAATATTTAAAAGAAAGAGAAATTGAATTTACCTGTAATCCTTTCGATTGGTGGAATTATAAAAAATCTAAGTACCCTATTCTTGCAAAACTTGCTCGTCAATACCTTTCTGTCTCAGCAACCTCAACACCAAGCGAAAGATTATTCAGTCATGCAGGGAATTTATTGACTGCTAAAAGATCACATTTAGATTTAGAATTGTTTAAACGAATTTTGTTTTTAAAAAGAAATGCAAGTTGTGTTGAATGTATTCACCCTTTATAATAAATATAAATGAATTGTCATAAATTATTAGCATTACTACTCTTTTTGTAACATTTTATACTAATATTAATATTGCTGAATTATCCGTTCAAACTGCGGATGATCCGTACAATCCGCGGATGATCCGTACAATCCGAATGATCCGTTCAATTTCACGGATGATCCGGATAATCCGTTTGAATCCGACGGATGTATTTTTTGAGCAATTAACAGATGACGGATTGATTTTTTGAGATAAATGATGGATGAACGGATGACGGATATCTGCGGATCGCATCTCTAAACTGATGGAGGATGATGCTAATTTAGTTTCCGAACCTATGTCTGAAGGAAGTTACATTGTATATGTTTTGACACCGATCCTTAATGAAATTTTTATAAAACATAAAAAAAAATGGCGTGCTGCATATGGCGAGACATGCCTTAAGGCAAGCTCTGAAGATTGCAATTCCCAGAAAGTAGATGATAAAAATCGATCCCCTGGAAGGAAAATCAATACAATCATTACTTTGAGGGAGGAAGATGAAGAGTTTTCAGTCATTGAAGTAAGTGGACCTCCATCGAAAAAAAACTGGAGTCATTTCAAAAGTGATCGAATGAAGATTTCAAAAATGCTAAAAACTTTAATCAATCGGCTTGTAAAAATTTGTCCAAGTTCTGACATTAGAATGGTTAGGTTATACGGAATGCAATCATATTGTAAATCTTCATTACCATTTTATTATTATCATTTTGTTATCACCACTTGTTTTTACTGACTAATTATTGATATTTATAGTATATGAATTAATTATATATGAATTCAAACTCAATTATTCTGAAATTTACACTATGGAAGAAATATTAAGATTTCCAATGCCTAAAACATGGAAAGATATGTTTAAAGCACATGAGACAGTGATAGGCCTATTAAAATATGAGGTTTGTATAGCAATAGGCAGATTCTCAAAAAATATAGAATATATAATAATATTTTCATTTTCATATTAGCTTCTGTTATTAGAAAGTTCAAAATCGATAAATGATTTTCTGTGGTCTGAATCTGATAATCAAGTCACGACAATGACAACTCGGATGATTTATACTCCAGATAACAATGGCACCAAGAAAATCCAAAGAGAATAATATTTATTACTATAAAAATCATTATATTAAAAGAATTTTATTATATGCTCAAGATAAATATTAGTAGAAACATTTCAAATGTTAAAAAAATTCACTGTTGTTTTTGCTAATTTGATTAATTAAATAGGCATTAAAAATTAATTGGATGTATTGTACTGTACAAGGAGGCTTCAAAAAAATTTCGTACATTGTATGAAATGTCATTGTGATTTATATGAATTATTAGTTTAAACGTGGACAATTTAATTTATATTGATTTTATTAATTTTATTAAAAAGAACAAGGTATATAAATTCGTTATAACTCGAAATCGAGAGCCTTTTCGCCCACTCAAGCAAGTATGAAGGACTTGTCAGATTTTATGTCCTTCCTGCATACTTTTAATCTTTGAGAAATTAGTTTCACTTGATGCCTACCTTCCTTGAGGGAAATAGAAAGTCAAGTGTGTATAATTTTTATAAACAAAAACAATTTACTATTCATATATATATATACGACCTGTTTTCTTCGATACCAATCAATAACTTACCATTTATTTAAAACACACAATTATTTAATTTTAGCAAGCCATCATTCACACACACAATGTATTTTCCACGTTCTTTTTGTTATTTATTTTTGTTTGCTGACATCAAATATTGAAGCACATTACCAACACTACGATAGCAATATCCCCCGATTAAAATACTGAAACCATCACTAAGACCAAAATTAAGACAAAGACCAAGTCCAAATGATATAACTACAACTGTTCTCACCACCACCACTACAACCACGACAACTACAACTATATGCAAATTTGATGGTGCGCCTTGCGACGTTGTTGATAATGAGTTTAACTCTGGGCATGTTGTGGTCAAACATGTAGAGTAGTTGATTAAAGTGCACCTCAACCAGCCTTACTTTGATTGATAAATTCATCTCGGCCAACATATACATAAAATTGAGTTAAATAATGTTGAAAAAATGTTTAACTTTATTAATCATCGCTATCTTGATTTTCCCGTTCTTATTCGGAACAATACTAATACCATTAACCAAGAGTAGAACTCTATCAAATTTAGATAGACCTTTTAACCAATTAATTATTTACGTTCTACGTAAACTTGTCTAGTATCTGTCATATAGTGTTATTATTATTAATCAATTAATCGATTTATTTTATCCATTAAACCAAGTTTTATTAATTAATAAATTTATTTCGTTCTAGATTAGCCTTGCATTTTTGCAAAGAAACATTGTTTACCCAAAATTTTGTTGCCTCCCAATAAAAATATCTTTTAACATAAAATTTGGGTGAATTATTACGATTTGTTTGTTGTAAAGACTCCAATGGCTCGTTTAATTTTGTCATTATCATAATATCTTCTATTCTAATAATATTCTGATACTAAGCAATAAATACAATTATCACCTAGCGATTTTTAAATAATGTTATAATTAAGTCGCAAAATTTATTTAAATCGGTCCAATTTTTTGTTTGATAACCTGAAGGTAACGCACCAACAAACGTATTTGTACTTTTTATTAACTATTTAGTTTGTTTAAAAAATAGAAGCTCACTTGGGTTCTTTTCTTGAGGAACTTTTTTTTTTTTGACAATAAATTTAATACAAGGTCATTCATTATCATGCTTTTAATAATCCATTAGTAGTATTCGTTCTAACGATTAAGCTACTGGATATTGATATTCATCTAATAAGCTTAATCTTTATTATTAGATATCTTTGCACCATAGAATGGCTGATAAAAGGCCAACGTGACTTTATCATAATTCTTCTATGTTCCCATAAAGTAATAATACCATATGAAGGCTTACAATATTTTTTGCACCTTCTCAGCCACCTTTTAAGGCTTTTAAATTAATATCTGAAAAAGAATCTAGTAAAAATATACATATGAAAATCATCAGATAATTTAATTTTACATAAAGTAACAGTTCAACGTATCTATATATTAATATGTATGTGTTTGACTCACCAATAAAAGATTATGATCACGAATATACATTTTTCATGTCAATCTACTTGGTTGGAAGCGGTCTTTCCAATTTTAATGGTCATGTTATTTTGATATTTCTCCTACTACAAAAAAGCTAATATGGTTTCCCTTAACCTGAAGGATATGACGAAATGGAAAATTCAGGCCGGTGTGAGAGCTGTAGACTTTATCAAAACTGTGTTCTTTCTTTATTTTTCAAGGTGTTACTATGTTCAGGGTCCATCGTCCCTGAAAAGTAATCATGAAAGGCACCATTAACTTAGTGACAGGGGCAAGTTTCAGATCAAAGGGAAACTTAAGATTGCTTTAAATAAGAGATCATCATTATATACCAATGTAAAGTTTTCAACTTTATATATATATCCATGTCAAACACAGCTATTCTAATCATGTAACAATTTGCTACACAGAATAATTTTTTATGTTACAGTATACAGTGCTGATTATGGAGAAAAGGAAAAGTTGAACCGATGAGGAGAGGTAATTTTGGATTTTATTTTGGATAGTTTGAATAATTAATTAATTTGTAAATCTTCATCGCCTTGATTGTTATTATTGCTATTGCTGTAATGTAATGATAATTATTTAGTCACACTAAAAGCCAACCATGTTGGATTTAACAGCGGGAAGGCGCTTGCATTGGCGTGGGAGGAATATTATTTGTTATTATGCACAGCAAAAATTAATACCTGAAATTAATGGTACTAGATATAGAAATCTCAACTAATTTGTAGTATTATTTGTTGTTACACGCAAACAACTCTCCTTCCATTCAAGCCAAAAATTACTTAATTATTCTATGTATTCTCTATAACTCTAATAGTGATTTTTAAGTTAATTTTTAAAAAAGGTGTGCCAAGCAATTATTTTACCTCATTAATTTTCTATAGAGCAGAAATTATGACTCCACCATAATTCTTTCTTTCCTTCCTTTCTTCTAAAATTATAAATTATCCAATTGGATAAAAACACGTCAAAGAAATAATAAAAAAGAAGAAAAAACTGTTTAGCCTCTCCCCCAAAAAAAAGAAGCCACGCCAAAAGGACAAACAAATATGCAATATAACGGTGAGTCAAAAAGATGCAGAAAAAATTACAAAAAAAGATAAATTATTTCTCGAAAAAAAACAACAAAAATTGGAATGCCATGAAGAAGAAAAGGAATAGATCAACGCGAGTAAAGATTATTTATTTATTTATTTATTTGTGAATGAATGAATTTGAGTAAGTTTGAATGAATAAACAAATGAACTATTGAGGCTTTAAATCTTTGAGGCGACTATAACGATGACGATGACAACTCCAGATTTGAACAATGAATGATGTAAGCTAAATAAATAATGACAAAATAAGAAATTTAGGTGTTATTAACCATTTTTAAACAATTTTATTTTATTGGCAAGAAGAAATAAGAAGAAATGGGGGGAAGAACGAAGAAAGTATTTTAAGAATTTAAGAAGAACTTATATTCTATTCCTTGAATGTTTTAAATTTTCTTTGATTCATCGCAAAAT